TGCAGCATGCAGCCCTGTGTTGTTTCTCTCTCTTTCTTATGACCGTCCTGCTGTTTCTTGCATTCTTCTCTTGCCCCTTTGACTTCTTTAGGACATGGCCACTTGTTTTCTGGGGACATCCATCCGTCCTCATCCTGCCCTATCACCTCCAGGTTCACTTTGCCTTGGAGCTCTGACTTCATGGTTTGACTGGTATAACTCACTCTTACCCATCATTTCTCTTTGGACTTATGCCTGCCAAGTAAGTCATTTTCCTCTTCATATTCAGTGTCCCTTTTACTTTGTGTCTTTAGAGAGCATGCATTTATTCTGGAGATGAAGTCTGGGCCCTCAGTGTTCCTTGAAACAGATTCCTCCTTTGTCTTCCATGTCTGGATGTTGGCCAAGTCCTCCTGACTTTTCCTCCTTGTGTCTGTGTGGTCTTGGGAGGGAAGGAGGCTGGCCTTTCCACTGTTTGTCCTGCTGCATGTTGGGCTGGGTGGGCATCCAGTTGCATTGCCATATTCTCTAGAGAGATCAAAGCACCTGTCCAGGATGGCTCAGCTGGGCAGAGAGTAGAGACAGGATTCTAGCCTGGTGGTAGGGATTCAGGCCTTCTCTGCCTTGGAAGACTTGAGCTCCTCTTCCACTCCAGCCTCTGCATTCACCCTTTGTGCTAATCTCTGAGCATCTCTTATGCCCCTTTCTACTCAAGAACTTTCAGTGCCTCCCTGTTTTCTCCTGGAAGCATGGCATTTTCCTTTTGAAGACTAAGAACCCAACTCTCAAAAAAAATTCAGAAAGTTGTCCTCAGGAATGAGGCTGGCAGATAGTTTGAACTTGGGAACTTCTGGCTCCATGTTCCATTCTATATCTGCCATGTCATGCTTTCTTTCATCAGCCAGAGATCATTCTGCCTGGTCCTCTAGGCCTTTTACTACTTCCTAGTACACAGCATCCAGACTAGCTGTCCAGTCTCCTTCCTCTGCCCTTCCTACTGTAGAATAGCCAGTGGCCCCTTTATTCCTGCATAGACCTTAGGGCTTGTTCAGGAAGAGCTGTCCCAAACTCAGCATAGAAGAATGAAGCGTTGACTTTCACAAAGTGTTTTGAGGCTTAATAGTTTGATGCTGTCTTGCTCTGGCCCTGGCTCTGTGTTGACTCCTGCTGTCTGGTGTACTTAGCTTCTCTTGGGTTCTTTTTGAGAGCTCATGGTTTGGTACAATCTGTTGGTTGTAATTCTTCATCCCAGTTTTGCTTTTTCTTCTGTCTCTGCCTTGTCCTTTGCATACCTGCAGAGGCCCAGTGCATTTGGTGATGGAGACTCAGTGACATTCAGGCCCACAGGTCATTAGCAGCTTCCTTTATCCCAGAGACTGCTAGTAAGGGGATACTATAGAAGATAAACTCTGGTGGGACTTGTCCTCCTTGAGGGCAGGACTGCTGGATATACTCTGACTCTGTAGCCGTTAGCCTGGTATCCAGAAGGAAGTGCCTCTTGGCAGAGGCTAGCTGCTGATCTCAGGTACAGCAGGATTCCTCTGGGGATAGAGAATAGACAATTCTAACTTGAGTTCTTCTCATTCTCAGTCTTTTATTGAGCAGGTGACTGCCCTCAATGTGGGAATAAGATGGGCATGGCTGTTTGGGCCCTGGGCATGCTTGGGGATGGGCATTGGAGGGGATACTGGGGACATGTATCATTAGGCATTTCTCATCCCTGATGGCTGCTAGCCACTGGCAGTCAGTACTGAACTGTGCCTAGACACAGGACCTGGGTCTGTTCTCATCCTCTGTGGGGGTCTCCAAGGCACATAGCCTGAGCTGTGACCACAGACTGTCCAACCTCCATATGAAGTGGAAGAGGAAGTTAGGAATTTAATGCAGAGCCCCTGATATGTGGTCCAGTGAAAGGCATGGTGTTATGTGGATGAGGATGCCCCTGACCAGGGACTCAGAACATAGTCTCCCTAAATGTTTCTCCGTGTGAGCTCATTCTTGGTGATATTCCATTATAGCAGTTAAGATGAACGGGGGGCGGGGGGCTGGGGGCCCCACCTTTTACAGAGGTGGTTATGACTGAAATGTCACATATAGTTTGGTTCATAGGTGAAGGCTGCAGTGCTTTACTGCCAAATTTTTCTGAAGTGAAGCTGCTGATTCTGAACCCCCCTCCCCTTTGCACCTCTGCTGATACCTTTCCACTTCCTCACCTTGGTTGATTTTGAAATGAGAAATTCAGCTCAGTGCTTGAACTTCTATTTGAATGTCACCCTGATGACCTGTATAAACTTCAAAATGGAGCTTGTTTCTCAGCACCACTACATGTCTGCTATGGCTAGTCATGGCTCCGGGGAATGCCAGCTCCCAGAAGGGACATGCCTTTAATTATTTAATCTGAGCTCTTAAAAAACTTGAACAGGAATTGCACTGTCCAAGTTCTGCATGCATTGTGCTTTTTTTTCCTTTCAGTCTTTTTGAGACAGGGTTTCCCTGTAGCCCCAGCTGGCCTAGAACTCAATATATAGACCATGCTGGCCTTGAATTCACAGAGATCTGCCTGCCTCTGCCTCCCAAGTCATGAGATTTAAGACATGCGCCACCATGCCCGGTCATGCATTGTGCTTTCTTTCTGCTCAGGTCCCTGCCAGTGAGACACTTCTGTTATGAGTCCTGTGTCAGGCATTTTGGAGCAGAAAGTCAAAAACTCATTTCAAGTCCTGACTTTTACACCTGTCTTTGAAATTCAGATAAATGAAATGGAAGTAACATGGGACTGTTGTTTGTGAAATATTGATTCTGTCTGTTGCAGAAATCTTCAAAGGGTAGCTGTGTTGGCATTTTCTATAGGAAAACAATTTTTCATCTTAGCCTGCTTTTTACTTCTTGGCTTGCCTGTTTGTGATTTCCTATTAAAAACTAGTTTAGGGACTCAGTGGCAGATCATTTACCTAGCATGTACTAGAGACCTGGGTTCCATCCTCAGCACCACAAAACCAACAAGCAAGGCTTGCTGGCAACTAATGAAAAGACACTTTCTGTAATTTTGAAAATGAAAACTACTCCCTGACTGTGCCTCAGGCTGGCTTGTTCCCTTCTAAGCTGCTGTCTGCTTACTTCCTCTAGTCCCTTCCATCTGGATCAGTATTACTGTGACTGCTGGTTTAATCTCTTTCTTTTATGGTGTCTCCCCTTCTTCCCCCGCCCCACAGAGCTCTCCAACACTCACTTTTGGATCATTCTCCTAGGCTTGGCTTCTTGCATCTTGGCCAGGTTTCAGGAGTGTAGGACAGTGTGGTTCTGTGTGACATGGCTGCCACTGAGGTGCTGACTTGGGTTTGACATAAGACCCTGAAGCTGTGCTAACAGAGTCGCCTGCCATCCAGTGGCACCAAACCACTTCTGCCTCGTCCAGTATCCTTAGTCTAGACTGACTGGTTTGCAAGCCCTAGGGATGCTCCTGTCTCTGCCTCCCTAGCATTGGGATTACAGAGGTGCCGCACCATATCTGCCTTTTTTAAAAAATATGTCATTGCTGGGGTTCAAACTCAGATCCTCAACATAGCAGGCACTTTTACCCAATAAACCATCTCCCCAATCTCATCCACATTCTAGAACTGCTACACAGCTTGCTTGCAATTAACCAGTGGTGGAAGGACTGTTTGCACATCCTACACCAGTGCTCACTAGTGTTTGTCCTTAACCATCATTTCCAAAATGCCTTTCTTTTTATTTTTTTAAAATGTTTTATTTATTATTTTTATTTTATGTGTATGAGTGTATTGCCTACATATATGTGAGTGCACCCGTGTCATGCTATGCTGCAGAGGTCAGAGGAGGGCTTCAGATTCCCCTGGAACTGGAGTTCAGGATGGTTCACAGCTGCCATGTGGGTACTGGAAATTGAGCACAGGTCCTCTGCAAGAGCAGTCAGTGCTCTTAACCACTCAGCCATCTCTCCAGCCCCAGGCCTTTCGTTTTATATGTGTTGTAGAAAATTTAGGGGAAAAACGGTATAAGAAAACAGGCAAAACAGACTGATCAAACAAAAAACTGAAAAACAAGGCAAAAATCTCAGAACTCCACTGCTCTGAAAGACAAATCCCTGCTTCCTTTCTGGTGTGTGTGCTGCTGCCATTTCTCATATACATGAGTTAAATGCAAATATGCCTCATACCACATGCTGTGGGAATTTTACCTTCACCCACTCTATTCCTCTTTCTAGGCATTAAATAGTCTCCTAGAATGTCTTTGTAGATGACTGCGGAGCCAGTGTATTCTTTATGTGAGTGAATGGTAGTGTTTGTTGCTGTGTGGCCCAGGCTGGCCTTCAACTTGTGATCTTACTGCCTTAGCCTCCCGAGTGCTGGAATTACAGAGATGTACCTTTGCTCCTCGATGGGTGGTGGTTATACAGGGAGCCCTTTCTTGTTGGCATGAATGACTTCCATTGCTTTTGCCAGTATTGTTGATGTGGTGTGGAAATGGGCATTTTTATACCTATCACCTTGATTCCGAGCACTCCTGAGGATGAACCTTTACAGCAGAGTACTTTTCCCTCTTCTTGGCCTCCCTCTCCTTTCTCCCTCCTTCCCATTCCTTTTTTCCTTTTTCTTGGCACTTTTTATATTTATTTTTATATTTTACACTTGTTTATTTGTGTTATGGGGTGTGTGTGTGTGTATCTGTGTGTGCATGTACATGCCATGGTGTACATTTGGAAGTCAGAGGATAACTTGGTGGAGTCAGTTCTCTCCTACCACGTTGGCCTTGGGCATTGAACTCAGGTTGTCAGACTTAGCAACTAGTGCCTTTACTTTCACTGGCTCCTTTTGGGGCACTCTTTTGGAGACAGGATCTCCCTATGTAGCCTTGATTGGCTTGAAACCCACCATGTATACCAAGTTGACCTTGAACTCACAGAGGTTTGCCTGCCTCTGCCACTGCTGGGATTAAAGGCATGTGCCACTTGCCAGGCTTTTTGAGCATTTTTGATACATAATACTTTTTTTTCTTTCTAGACACTACAACAACAGGAGTGCAAACTTCTCTACAGCCGCAAAGAAGGTCAGAGGCAAGAAAATAAAAACAAAAACAGATACAAAAACATCCTACCCTGTAAGTATTGATCTGCTGCCTCTGGAGCAGTCATTGTGCCTTGGGGGGGGGGTGCACATTCTCATTAACAGATTATAAGCCTTAGTCTGTTAAATTATGAGCAGTTCCTAAAATAATCAACTGTAGTAGGGGATGGATGCCCTCATTTCCTGAGTTTCTGGGATCCTGATTGCCAAGGAAGATTGCCAGTAGGAGGCTTCTCTGCGGTCACCTGTAGTCAGTTTCTGGTCTGCCTACCTTTAATAACCTCAAGGCTCATTGCGACTCAGTGTCAGGGCATTGCACATCAGGGTCTGAAAGTTCTGTCTTTGATCTCATTTCACAGCCCTTGAGTCAGGAGGGGTAGACGTACCTTTCTGGAGCTCCATTCTCTCATTTGGGGAATGGAGAACCTATTGGGTTTATCTACCTGCGCTGCTGATTGATCTCCTGGCTGAGCTACTGGAGATAAGGATGCACAACTGCCTTTCCCTCAGAAGAGGAACTTGTGACTATGCATAAAGCTGGCCTACTTTAACATACACATACTAGCCCCAGATCCCAAATGAACCATAGGGGTGCGGGGGATATCAAGGGGTGGGCTAAATGTCAGAAAGGATAGAGGCCTTCATTGAAGATCCTATCACTACACAAGTCAGAGTTGGCTTCTCTGTTGCTCTGTATATTGATGTGATCAAACCCATACCTAATGTGGACGCAAAGCAGGCTTTTTGTTTTGTTTTGTTTTGTTTTGTTTTGTTTTGAGTGCTAGGGATTAAAGCTAAGGTCTCTTACATGCTAGGAAAGCGCTATATCAAGTGCCTTCTTTATACATTTATTTATTCCTTCATTTAACTTGAATGTATGTTTGTGTGTATATGTGTGTGTAGTCTAGAAGATAAACTTGGGTGCCATCTGCCTTATTTTTTGAGACAGGGTCGCCCATTAACCCAAAACTGACCTGTCTAGAAGGGCTGGCTGGTCAGAGAGTACCAGGTCAGCCTGTCTTCACTTGTCAGGACTGGAATTACAAACACAAGCTGCAGTGCCCAGTTCTTTAAAGTTGGTTCTAGGCATCAAACTTGGGTCTTCATGCTTGGACGGCAGGCACATAGCAACAGAGCTATCTCCCTAACCCTCTTTTTACTTTTTATTTTGAGAGGGTCTCATTAGGTTGCCCAGACTGGTCTTGAACTCACTTGATAGCTCAGGCAAGTCTTAAACTTGAGGTCCTCCTGCTTCAACCTCCTGAGTGGCTGGGACTACACACATGTACCACCAGACCCAGTCTTTGTCTTTGTCTTTGTCTTTGTCTTTGTCTTTGTCTTTGTCTTGTCTTGTCTTTCTTGTCTGTCTTGCCTTGTCATGTCTGTCTTGTCTTGTCTGTCTTTTCGAGACAGGATCTCCCTGTAGCCCCAGCTTGCCTGGTATTTGCACTCACTATATAGACCAGGCTAGCCTCAATCCCATAGAAATCTGCCTGCCTCTGCCTCCAAGTGCTGGGATTAAAGGCTGCACCACCACACCTGGTTTAAAGCAGGCGCTCTTACTCTTCTTATTTCATGAACTGACTGAGCAAAGTTGTAAGTGGGAGTCAGTGGGAGAACCTGCACCTGAGGCCTTGTTCTTGGCACCCTTTGCTGACAGGGTGGGCTCTACAGGACTGTGCATGGGGGAAGGGAACATGGGAACATCCAGAACTTTGGCTTAAATATATCCTTTATTAAAAGAAGAGAAAGAAACCGAACATGGTAGTGCATGCCTTTAATTCCAGCACTCAGGAGGCAGAGGCAGGAGGATCTCTGTGAGATCGAGGCCAGCCCGGTCTACATAGTAAGTTCCAGGCCAGCTGGGGCTACAGGGAGACTGTGTCCCCAAAAGACCACCCTTCCCCCCCCAAAAAAAAGAGAAAGAAATTATCTAAATCTGATATATAGGTTGATGACACTAAATGTATAATCTATTCAGTTAACTTAGAAATAAGGCTTGTTGTTGGGCTGGAGAGATGGTTCAGTGGTTAAGAACACTGGCTGTTCTTGCAGAAGACCCAGGTTTGAATCCCAGGACCCACATGGCAGCTAAGAACTGCCTGTAACTCCAGTTCCAGGGGATCCGACAGCCTCTTCTGACCTCCCTAGGCATTGCACGACACAGGTGCACTTACCTACATCATGCAGACAATACACACATACACATAAAATAAAAATAATAAATAAAATTTGAAAAAAAGAAATAAGGCTTGTTTAGAGAAGAGAGGAGGGGCACAAACTTCAGTGTTCAAGGATTTGGTTGCTGGGATGATGGAGCAAAGTTGGAGAGCATTGCTCTCGTGGCTCAGCTGGTCAGAACCATTTCTTAAGTTATTGTAAATGCACTGTGTTTCTCTCTCTCTCTCTCTCTCTCTCTCTCTCTCTCTCTCTCTCTCCACAGTATATGTGCATGTCACATCCACATGGCTATCTGGTTTGTGTGGGTGAGGATGAGAGGGTGTGGAAGGTGGCTTATATAAGAATGACAACCTAGAGTTTACAGAACAGCACTTGGGGCTGTAGCAGGATGCTTGGAAAGTCTCCTTCCTTCTATTTCCAAGTTATCTCTTGGGCTCAGCACTCTTGTCCTCACTGTGAAATGTGGGAGGTTGGAAAAGATGAGGGAGCAATTGTTGACAGTTTCTAAAATAATTATATCTGATGTCTGTTAAAGATCCTAATCAGGTGTTTTCTCTGATTCTTTTCTTTCTTTCTTTTTTTGAGACAGGGTCTTCTTATAGCCCCAACTGGTCTGGAACTTGCTATATAGACCAGGCTGGCATTGAACTCACAGAGATCTGCCTGCCTCTGCCCCTGGATCAAAGCCATGCACCACCACACCAGTTTTTTTTTTTTTTTTTTGGTCTTTTTTTTGAGACAGGGTCTCCCTGTAGCCCCAGCTGTCCTAGAACTCACTATGTAGACCAGGCTGGCCTTGAACTCACAGAGATCCACCTGCCTCTGCCTCCCGAGTGCTGGGATTAAAGGCGTGCGCCACCACATCTGGCTTTTTTTTTTTTTTTTTTTAATGTTGGTAATTGAACCCAAGGCTTAGGCAAGTGCTCTACTTCTGAGCTTCCTCTATAGCCCTTTAAAAAAATTAAAGACTGGTGCTGCTAGTGTTCCCACAAACATGGTGAACGTTCCTAAAACCCTCTGAGCTTTCTGCAAGAAATGTGGCAAGCACCAGCCCCACAAAGTGACACAGTACAGGAAAGGATTCCCTGTATGCCAGGGAAAGCAGCATTATGACAGGAAACAGTGGCTACAGTGGGCATACTAAGCCTATTTTCCACAAAAAGGCTAAAACTACAGAGAAGATTGTGTTCAGTCTTGAGTGTGTGGAGCCCAACTGCAGATCTAAGAGAATGCTGACTATTAAGAGGTGCAAGCATTTTGAACTGGGAGGAGACAAGAAGAGAAAGGGCCAAGTGATCCAGTTCTAAGCCGATTTTATAATGAAGCTAAAATCATGAGTTACTTTAAAAAAATTTAAAGACTATTTTATTAATATTTTAAAAATTCTGTGTATATGTATGTAGGTTCATGCATGTGAGTACAGCGTCCACGAAGACCTAAAGAGTGTTTTGAATCCCCTGCAGCTGGAGTTATAGGCAGTTGTGAGCTGCCTGATGTGGGTGCTGGGTATCAAACTTGGGTCCTCTGGAAGACTAACACATGTTCTTCATGGCTAAGCCATCTCTAGCCCCCTCTTTAAAATTTTTTATTTTGAAACCATTTCTCTAAGTTGCCCAGGAGTATATAGCCTAAGTAGGCCCTGAACTCGTGATTCTTGTTTCAGGCTTCTGAGTAGCTGAGATTATAGGCCTGAACCATTGTATGAGGCTCATACTATATTTCTTTAAAGATGAGAATCTAGGTAGAAGAAAAGATTCTGTTAAAAAACATATACTAATTCCCACTGTAAAATAGAGCCCCGTAGATTCTTATGTCAATAACATGTTTTTGTACAGAATTTAGGTAATTGATACTTTATGAATCTTATCTAACAGATACTATATTTTATTCTGTGTCCTTTAAGAGACTTTTTATTATGGGAAATTTGAAATATATTAAAAAATAGACAGAACCTGCATGTGCCTGCCCATCACCCAGCATCAGCAGTGAACAGCTCCTGTGCAGTCCTGTTGTATCTATATTCTGATCCATTTCTCTCTCCCCAAGTTATTTTGAAGATCTTAGACATCATTAGTCATACTTTAATCTTCTTTATAAAATGAGCCAGCTGGGAATATAGTTCAGGGATACAGTGTTTGCCTAGCATGTGCAAGGCCCTGGGTTCAATCTCTATTACTACCCAAACCCAAAATATACAGGAGGAAAAAGAAACAGGAACGAAAACCTTTGGCTTGAAATAATTTTGAACTCATGAGAAATTTTGAAGTTAAGCTGGGTGTGGTGGCGCATGCCTTTAGTCCCAGCACTCGAGAGGCAGAGGCAGGTGGATCTCTGGGAGTTCAAGGCCAGCCTGGTCTACCTAGTGAGTTCTAGGTCAGCTAGGGCTATAGGGAGACAAAGATCAAAAAAAGAAGTTATAAAATTAGTATAGAAGGTTCTCATCCACTCCACAACTGCCTCCCCCTTGATAAGATCCTATACCCATAGCACATCATCCATGATGAGACCCCACACCCACAGTGTATCACCTGCAATGAGGGGAACCCCTCTCCCTCAGTGCACACAGTGCACCTGTGATGAGATCAAAACAAGGAATTTCAGAGAAAGCAAAATGGTGCATCATGTCCCATTCAGATTATATGGGTGCTGACTGGAGGTTAAATTATTATTATTATTATTAAAAAAAAAAAAAAACTCACTATGTAGACCAGGCTGGCCTTGAACTCAGAGATATGGCCTGCCTCTACCTCCTGAGTGCTGGGATAAAAGGCATGCACTACTACACCCAGCCTTTTTTTTAGAGGCTAAATTATTTAATGTGATTTTATTGTTAAATTTGACTGGCTTGAGGATGAGCTGATTTGTGTTGAAGCTCTGAGGACTGATGTAGTTCTGGTCTCTTTCTCTTCAGTTGATCATACCAGGGTTGTCCTGCATGATGGGGATCCTAATGAGCCAGTTTCCGATTACATCAACGCAAATATCATCATGGTAAACTTGACTTTAACAATGTTTTCTGACCAGATGTTGCTAGCCTGTTTCTGATATGAAATTCTCATGTACTGAAAGCATGTTTCAGATGTTTGAAGGATTTTCTCCCTAAATTTCTAGCCTGAATTTGAAACCAAGTGCAACAATTCAAAGCCCAAAAAGAGTTACATTGCTACACAAGGCTGCCTGCAAAATACGGTGAATGACTTCTGGCGGATGGTGTTCCAGGAGAACTCCCGAGTCATTGTTATGACCACAAAGGAGGTGGAAAGAGGAAAGGTACACTCTATTATCTTTCCTGATTCCCCCCGCCCCCTTTGAATCTCAACTTGTTGTGCTAAGTGCTCTGCCACTGTTCCCCAGATCCCGATAGATTATATATATATTTTTCCAAAATATAAGATACAAGCCTGGCCCCTCTCCTGTCCTGGTAGTGACTAGTGAATCACTATTCCAGGTGCAGTGCCACTACCCAGTCAAAAATGTAACATCTCTGGCCTGGGGACCCTGGGGACCCTCTTGAAAAAATATTTTAAAAATACTAGATGTGTCAGGTGGGTCTAGCTGACCCTCTGGAAAAAAAGAAGTTTGACTAGATGTGCCTCAGTATAGCTGTCTCTTCTTCATCTCTTTTCTCCTCACCTTCCTTACCATCCTCCTCTTCCTTTTCTTTTCTGGATTTTATTAAAGATAGGATCTCATGTAGCCCAGGCTAGTCTCAAACTCTATAGAGAAGTCTGAATTTCTGACACTGCCACCTCTGCTTTCCAAGTGCTGGGATTACAGGTGAGCATTACCACACATGTTCCAGTGGAATTGCAGGTTTATATTTTTCTTTAAATTTTATTATTGTTCACTTTAAATTATTTTAAAAATATGTACCCCACCTAGTCCCACTTGTGTCATTCCTTGGCCCACCAAGGCATTGTTCATTTAAGTTCTTTCCCTCTGCGTTGGACCTTTTGTTCACTTAATCATTTCTTCTATGGTGTGTAATCTGCTGTTAGACCTGGCTGGTATATTTTCATAGCAGACTTTGTAGGCTTCATTCCTAGACATTTTGCCTGGGTCTTTTTGATATCTTCTCTGTCTCTTTGACACGTGTGACATGTCCTGTGCACTTTGAACATATTATTTATAATCACTGTTTCAATGTCCTTGTCTACTAGTTCTATCATTGGTGTCACATACTTTCTTCAGTGTGCTAGGTAAGGTAGAAAAGAAGGGAAGATCTGCCCTGGTACCCTGCTGGGTATAGAAGCAGAAGTTGGAAGAGGGCTGGAAGCAGGCCTCCTGGGACCTGCAGATGCTGAATGTATGGATAACCACAGCGCATGTACACTGTACTGACATAATGTATAAACACTAGAAGATTAGTTTGAATTATCCAAACAGTGCATTCCGGGAGCTATTGAAGCACAATATAGTGAAGGTTAAAGTTGCCCTTGTCACCACCTGTCCTCTCCTCCAGCATAGAAATCCTGCTGTCACTTTTGTGTTATCTTGGCCTGAGTATGTTTCTATTCCTATAGATGTTTATTGTCCTTCTTCTTCCCTCCCTCTTCTTCCTCTTTTCTCTTCCTCCTCCTCCTTCCTTTCTCTTCTTCATTCTCTCCTTCCCTCTCCCTCCCTCCTTCTGTTCTTTCCTTTTCATTTCTTTTTTCTTATTGTCTGTTTGACTTTCTTGTGCTAGGGCTGCAACCTAGAACCTCCCATGTGCTACAAACCTGCTCTACCACTAAGCTCTACTTCCAGCTGTGATTTTGTACAGTAGCTGTATCCTGTATCTTGGTTGTGCCCCTATTAGATGTGTGTTCTGTCTTCTACTGTCAGTACACATTGGCCTTGTGTTCTGTGCTGTGAATGAGCCATGATTCATGTAGCCGCTACAGTGTAGATGGACACTAAAGTGTTCTGGGTTTTGCTCTTTCAAACAGTACTCAACTGAATAGTCTTGTTCTTGCTTTCGTTTCTTCATAGTCTTATGGTAGATGTTTGTCTATGTTAGGTATCAGGAATTGTTGGATCTCTTCTTGTTGCATTATTACTTTAATCAACTGCCTAGCAGCCCTCTAGAACTGTCAACTCCGTTTTACTCCTCCAGCAGTGTAACCTTGAACTGAGCTCCCCAGGCTCTTCAGGATACTCTTAGTTTTTAGAAATTGTAACATGCCACATCTCCAGGAAAGCAGACTGTGTTATCTTTGCATATTATCTCAAAGTGAGCCCAAATTGTAGGTTTTATTTTATTTTGTTTATTTATTTTTATTTATTTCTTTTTTTGGTCTTTTTGAGATAGAATCTCTCTGCAGCCCCAGCTGGTCTGGAACTTGCCATGTAGACCAGGTTGGCCTTGAGCTCACAGAGATCCATCTGCCTCAGCCTCCCAAGTGCCATCACACCTAGCTAGTTTTGCCCACATATATTTATATGAGCTATGTGTATGTCTGGTGCCTGAGGAAGCCAGGGAGGGTACCAAATCCCTTAGAACTGGAGTTACAAGTGGTTGTGAGCCACCATGTGGGTGCTGGGAACCAAACTTCATCTTCTGCAAGTGCTCTTAATCTTGGAGCCATCTCTCCAGCCCCAACTTGTAAGTTTTTAATATGGAAATGCCTTGGTTTTGATTTGTGTTCTAGTTAAACTTCTTGTTTAGAAGTCCTTTAATTGGTTTATATAAGAGCAGTCACATCTAGAAGTTAACCTGAGACAGAGGAGACACTTGGACTTCGAGCCTTCCAGAGAACTGTACATACCTAGCTGTGAGGGGCAGGCTGGCTATACTCCTGGCTAGTACATTTATGCATGTCTTTAGTCCAGGCTAGATACTGTAGGACAGACACTTTGCTAGCAGTGAGGCTCCAGCAGTGACACTGGATGTTCTTGAGTTCCTGGGCTAGTTACAGCATCTTCCAGTTCCTGCTTCTAGCAGGTGTCACTGCTCTGCCATGTTGAGGAAGATCAAAGCTCTCTTTACTTCCTGCTTGATGGGAGGAGGTGTAGGAGGCCTCCTTTCATAGAGAATGTGGGCCTTGACAAGAGATCTTGTGCAGCTTCAAAGGAATCAGTATCAGTCGGTTGAAAGAGCTATTGGAAGCTCCCAGAGCAGGCAGGGGTTTGGCCAAATGTCTTGGTCTGAGACTTACTTCCTTGGTTCAGTCTCTGTGTCCTTTTTCTTCTTCACATTGGGAGTGCAGATGGGATGGCACCCTGGACTTTTAAAAAGTGTCTTCGCAGCTGCTGTGGCATGCTGGTGGTGTCCCCCACTGCATAGGAGGAAAATGCCATGTGTTCCTGTCAGAGACAGCATTTGGGAAACAGGGAAGGGGGCAGCAGTAGTTTGCAGCTGTTCAGAGTCCACTGACAGGTTCTTTTCCAAGTCATCATTTAATTTTGTGTTCTCTGTTGAGGTCTCTGTAGTGGTCCTCTGAATTGATTAGTCAGAAGCGGCACTGAGTTCAGCTAGAGGGTTTGTTTGGGGACAATACAAATTATATCAGATTGTCAAATACTGGAGACAGAGTTGAATTTAGACTAAGAAGAGACTACACTCCTCCATCAGACGCTCTTTATGCCACATTTGTTTTTTCCTGGTTTTTCTCTATAAATTGCTCTGTATTCTTAGTTACAAGGTAAATTTCTCTTGCTGATGTCTGTATATTGGTGGTTTTAGAAAATGAGTGTTGTGGGTGACTGCTTCCAGAAGAAAATAAGCAAAAGAACATTCTCTGCTCTGGCTGCATCATTAAGTAGATACATGCTCATCTCACTGGAGCCATATCACTTCCCTTTTGGCAATAGGAACAATTTCCTTCCTTTCATCAT